TATTTACAGAAATATAAAAATGAGCCAGGCACTCTCTTTAGCACCTTAATGCACTGTCTGACTCCTCCCACCCACCACCCCCTTAGTGCTGAGAACTGAACTCAAGGCCCAGTGAGTGCAGGGCATGTAGCTGGGTCTTCAGGAACATCCCTGCTGGCCCACATGCCTGGTCTAGCTTAATCCGCAGACCAACAAGGCAGGGATACCATTCTTACCTCTATTTTAGAGAAAATGGTCTGAGCCTCAGGATGTTTAAGAAACTTGTCCCAGGTCCAAGAGCTGAGCAATTCTAGGCCAGGGCTTAAATGCAGAGGCATTGACTTGAGATCATCCTTTTCTTGTGCACGTGTAGTGCTGAGGATTGAACCCAGGGCCTCTTTCAGGCTAGGCAGGTGCCCTGTTAGTGAGCCCCAGCTGCAGCTCATGATGCTCCCATGTAGAGGTTACTGTAACTAAGTCTGGCCTTACAGACTTGTTCACCTGGCTCAATCTTAAATCATTGAGACTGTACCTGCCTTGTTAACACACGATTTCCTACAGCAAAGGTGCTTTCCTCACCTTTTCTGTTGTGATCATTAACTTGACTGTGAACAAAGTACCCACTGAATTGTTTTCCCAGTATTCTTTACTATTTGATACACTTTTTCAGGAAATTCAAGGTTGTCTCCAGTCTTATTTATTGAATTCCCATGAGATAAGGAATTCCCACAGGTATAATTGATAGCATGTGAGTTTGCATTTGAGAAACTGTTTGTCCAGGGCCTGGCACATAGGGAAGCATGTGCTCTTTTACTCACTGCTGTGTTCCCCAAACTGTATTCTTTCAGCAAAGAATATTTTTCCAATTCTTTGAAAAAAAAGAAGGTAACATAATTTTGTTAAATATCATTGACAACTTAATAAAAAATTAATTCATTCCTTGTTAGTTACATTTACCTATTTAAAAATTTATGAATTTTAGTAATGCAGCAGGAATTCCACATAAACCAGGAGCACAATGTGGAAAAGGAGTTAACTTTTTAACTTTTTACATCGTTATGTTTTATATATTTAAGTCTAAAGTAGAAGTCTAAGTTAAATCGCATTAGATGTCTTGGCATAATTTTTTTTTACATGCCTGAAAAACTAGGAAGAATCAAAAAAGTACATTATTCTAAATGAATCAACAAAGCATGAGGCCACTTTTCAGCATCAGAATTGAACGTGGCTTTCTGAGCTGCAAGGGCCTGTTTGCTACTTCAGGTATTACTCGCCAGGTAATAAGTGAAAGGGCAGTCCCACAGAGTGCTTTATTCCCCTGAAAGAGGGCTGTCTCTGCTGGACCCATACGCATCATGACCTGCAGGTAGACTTGCTGTTTAATAGGAAGGAATCTGTCTTACTTTATCTAACTGGTACTGTGAAGCTGTGTTTAATCCTGTGAGAGATCAGCTGGGTGACATTCTAGAGGAGAATTATCTTTGGCTTTGGAAAGATATATGACTCCCACTTGTAAAAGTGGCAAAAAGCTCTGCAAGGGAAGAAAGAAATCACCTATAAAAAGTTGTTTGTAGCCACATTAAGCTTCTTTAGTAAGATTTGCATAAGGCCAGGGTGCAGCCTGTTTCTTCTTTTTTTGACTTTTTCAAGTGCATTTTGGGGGAAAGTATTTGTCAGTGTGATGCTCCTGAGCACTTCTGGCACCTTTCCTTAGGGATTCAGGACACTTTTAAGGTCACTGTCCTTTTCTCTTCTTTGTTTCTTACGATGGAACTCAGTTTCTACTGCAAAAGAAAGAGTCTTGGTTTATGGTTCTGCCCTGGCCTTTAGCTTTTAAGAGATTCCTCTACTTCCTGGAAAAAGGGAAAGGGTAGGCTGACGCGCTGAAGAGAACTGGGCGCAGCTTACACAGTCAGCCTTCCATATCTTTGGGTTCTGCATCTGCAGTCAATCAACTGCACATGAACAGTGCTCAAAAAAATTTTATCTTTATTGAACATGTACAGACTTTTCTGTCATTATTCTTGCAGTGATATAGTATAGCAACTATTTGTATAGCATTTACATTGTAAGTAATCTAGAGATCATTTAAGAATACAGGAGAATATACATAGGCTATATGAAAATACTACACAATTTTATGTAAGGGACTTAACTATCCATGATCTTAGTTTCCATGAGGAACCATTCCTGGAACCATTCCTCCAAAGGATACTTGGAAGACAGCTAGACTTCCTGTTTCTCACTAGTACATACTTGATTTTAACAGAATGAAATAATTTTGTGTTTAATCATTTTAAGCAGTTATTTTTATGAGTATTATATACTTCTATATCATTTAATTTCTTTGAAGTTGTGTCTGATATTCTGTGATCAGATCATTAAAAGCAACCAATTTCAGTTTCATGGCTTGCTTTTGTTATGGCCATTTGTTAGGAAAATGCATTAATACCTTCTGTTATATTTTGCTTCTGGTATTTTAAATACTTACAATGATTCATAACTAAACAATTTTTGCTCAGTGAAATAAAACTTAGCCTGGTTATTTAGAGGCATCAATGAGGAAGAGACTCAGACTATTCTGATACTGTAGTATAAAATGAAAATGTGAGAAGGAAGTTAAGAACATCTTTTTGTCCAGGCATCTAAAACATGTTGACAGGAACAGAATGACAAAATTATATTTGTTCTGACAGAGGGTTTGTTTTCCCCCTTGTTCATATAATGTCAGATTCTTTTTTGATCAAGAACCTGTCCCCCAAAACTGGAACTTTCAAAAGATTTTTTTCAGGAGCTCTATGCATCTGATTATGCAAGTGTTTGCAAGTTCTTGTATCAGCTCTGTATCATAGCATTGAATAATGGTCTGGCACCAACTCATAGTTAATATCTGTCAGGATTTACAGCCCAGGAGGAACAGAAGAAACAGCCTTGTTAATCCATCCAGACGGTGTGTAAAATAAATTTTTATACCTTTGTGGAAACTTCTGAGAGCAATTTACTATATTTCTCTGTGTGAGTTTCATGGAAGCATCTTTATCCTTGGTTTTTCTCTGGGAACATCTGTCATTGATCATTCTTTTAATTTGATTTAAATACATAGGCTACATTTTGGGCTTTGTATGGTACCTGAGAGAACCTAGGGGAGCTTTGCTTTGCTATTATATTAAACTCCTAATATAGTAATCTGATAGCTTCAGAAAGTAAAGAACCCTTTAGAGGCATAAAGACCACTAAGTTGACAGCAAAAAATGGAAGTCAGAAACTTTAGGGCCTTAAGCCATAGTCTTCATGTGGACAGAAAGAGCTGTTCAATTAATTAATATTTAGCCCCCATCCTCAGGGCATAGTCTACATTCCTCGGCTTACTGGCAAATTTTTAAATATTCTAGCTTAAGATAGCTGTGAAACTAGAAAATTGTCTTCACAGAGCCAAAGCAGAGAGGAGAACAAAAGAGAAATGCCTAGGATTATATAAGGAAGAGAATAAGAAATGACAAGATTCTGTTATTTATTTGTTTTGATATTAGGCAAATTTGAAATGTGAAATTTCTGGAGAGGGTCTTAAATAAAGATGATTTCATACCCAGGTATAGGAATCCTTTTTAGAGACAGTTGCTTACTGTTTGTGTGCATTCCAGTGGCAGGAAGCACACATACAAGCTGTAAGCACAGCTGTTAATCTGGTTCCACTGACTCAGGCGAGACAGTACTGGGGTGGTGTGAGAGTTAACTTTGCTCTTAAGAAAAAGTAGGGAAGCCTTCAAAGAGAGCTGTGGAACAAGTGCCCTTCCTGGTAGTTTTATGCTTTATCATGGGGATCTTATCAGTTCTTGAAATATCTCTGACAACCCCTTTTCTATTTGAATTGGAAAAAGAAACTTGAGACCTGTATTGATTTAAGGCATTGCCTAATATCAAAACGGATAAATATCAGAATCTATCATTTCGTATTCTCTTCCTTGTATAATCCCAGGCGTTTCTCTTTTGTTCTCCTCTCTGCCTTGGCTCTGTGAAGACAAGATAAATGAGAGGGAGCGAACAGAAGCTTGATAATGGAAGCTGATCCGGGGCATCTGTCAGAAGCACTGTGACTGTCTGGTCACTCATGTGCTGTTATGTGTCTTTCATCCTGCAGGCTTACTGTGGATTCCTCCGCCCTGGCGTTCCTTCAGAGAGCCTCTCAGCAGTGGCCACAGGAAACTGGGGCTGCGGTGCCTTTGGGGGTGATGCTAGATTAAAAGGTGAGTTGTTGTACAGAAGGATAATAACATGCTGACCAGGAAAAAAGCTAGTCCTTCAAGCCACATTTCTAATGTTTTGTCATAAGAGACTAGAGAAACCTAAGAAAGAAAGACTATTTGACACCGTCCTTTTTTTATGTTTGAAGGAATTCATAATCTCATTTACTGTTTTGTGCAGAGGTTTAGCTCTTTGATCCATCAGACACAGGATTTAATTGAATATAGAAAGTGCAGCGGGAAGGGAGAGTCCAAAGAAACTGTGAAGTTTCAAACCAAACCTCCTACTCCAAACATTTTCCTTTGCTTGGAAGGATTTTTATGGGCAGAGCTATGTCACTGACTCCTTCCTTCACTAAACTGATGGGCTGTCTGCCCTGTTCTGGGCACTGTGGTTGGCACTTAGAGTCCAGAGGTAAATAAGATGTGGCCCTTGCTTTGAGAACCACAGTCCAGGCAACATGTTAGAGAGGCAAGTGGTAATGAGCGCCACGGCCGCGGGGAAGGTGTTGCTGCTGTGGGCTGAGAGTGGGCGAGCTGCCTGTGTGGCCCAGATAAAGAGGCCTGGGGCACCTAGGAACCAGTCTTCCTTCTCACTGTGTGTTGCAGAAAAAAATCACAAAACCTGATCGGAAAAGCTAGTGGCTCGTTACCAGATTATGACATTTGCTCTACTTTTGAAGATATCATTTCTTAAAATTGTTTACTGTTCCACTTCAGTCCAGTTGACTCAACACCAACAGGTTGTGTGCAGTGCAGTTCTGATCTGGAGTTAGTGCCAAACACACATGCTAGGAGCAGGATCCTCATTTCATGTAACCCCATGTCTGGGGAGCCTGGGCCCTCAGGTTTAATGATTCACTAATAATTTTAAGCCCTGTACATATAGTCACCATTTTAATATGAAGGACACACACAGGGTGAGGGTTGAAGGGGATGCAGAGCTTTGACAGCCTCCCCTTATCCCCACACATCTTTGTTCAGCGAGGAGCTGCACCTGCATTTAGTGCTCAGCAGTTTTCCTGCAGTTTAAGTACATGGGCATGATTGATTATATCATTGACCATGTGATTGAACTTGGTCTCCCTGGAGATTGGGCTCTCACATCATCTCATTAGCATAACAAAGACTAGCACTGCTTAGGCAGTTCCATGGATTTTTAAAGCTGCCAGGAACCTGGGACAAGGCCCATATGAATTCTTTGTTTTATAATAATTATCCAAGTAACAATAAAACAATGAAAGCAGTCATGGCTTTGATATGCAAACTAGATAGCATAAAGTCCATCTCCTTGGGAATAGAACAGTTAAGTGTGTCATAATGTATCTACCCTCACTCCAATGATAAGAGCCCGTTACTGTTTTCATAAAAATGACACAGTTACTTCTTTTAATTATTCAGAGAAATACTGTTAAGTATGTAAAAATCACCAGAATTTGCTGTTAACATTTTGGAGTCCATCCTTTTGGACATCTCTGTAACAATGTATGTAACCACTTGATGTCAGTGAGGTTGCACTATATATTCTGTTTTTTAAAACCCTGCAGTCTCATGAATGGTTTTCAAAATCAAGTATAGATGTGACCAGTGTAACCAAAAAACATAGTTAATGTTATGTGTGTTTATTACAGTAAAGGACGCATCACCATTAATCTCCTTAAAAACGCTCCCCCTCATTTCAAACACACTTATCCCATCATTCTTGCTACTTTCTGGAACAGTTTTGGAAGTCCTCTTTTGTGTCTTTAGTGTACTGTCCTGTCTGCCTTGATGTCCTGACTTGATTCAAAACATTTACAGCAATTTTTGTCAAATGAAAACATTACAGTGTGTCCTCATCCAGCTTTCACCAGATTTGGTACCATGCAACTTCTGGCTCTTCCCCAAAGTCAAAATGACCACACAAGGGAAATGTTTTTAACTGATTGAGGACACTGAGGCAGCCTCAAGAGCACAGCTAAAGACAACTTCCAGACCTGCTTCAAAAAGTGGCAAGAATGATGGCATGAGCAAGGGGGAGTTTTTTGAGGAGGATTAATGTTAACGTGTCTTTGTAATAAGTTTTTTAAATTTGAACACCATATTTTTTATAAGCCCTTGTACTGTGGGCATATTAATGACTTACATGATACATATATATATCTATATGTGTGTATCTCACAATGTCTTCATTCAGGGGTAGTTGTTTCCTTTATCTTGCAGTATAAGCAGTATACAATTTTATATATATATATACATATATATATGTATATAGATACATAAGCTGTCTTCCTAGGGTTAATTACTAGAAGTAATTAGCATCCTTTATTCACATTTTGACAGTGCAAATTGCCCTTGTTAAGCCATGTCACTTTAGATTGTCTTCCTTGCCTGAGCAGCCTCACAAAGGCAGGACTTGTCAGTCTTTTCAATTTCTCTGAGATTCAAGAATTTTCATGTTTTGTTGGACATTTTTGTTTGTTTTGTGAATTGTTTTTTGATGCCTTCTTGCCATTTACCTCTTAGGGAGTAATTGATTTTTTTTAATAGCTAAATAACTGTATGTTAAGATATGCTAATTGTTTAATGGTCTTGGGTTACAGGTGTTTTTCTAATTTTTTTTTTCACTTATTTCTGCCTTTAGCGGTATTGTCCACTGTTTCTCATGTGTATGCATTTTTGTGGCATACTTAGAAAAAAATCTTCCTATCCCCTCATCCTAAAGATTTTCACCCACATTTTCTTTCAGTGCAAAATCAAAAACTTCATAATTTTTTTTTCAGTGTTTGGAAGCCCAAAAAAGAAAGACGGTTGGCTTTTTATGAAATTTTTCACCATCCTGAATTTGTTTCAGGAGACCTGTTTTTCACTCTGGGCTTATTGATCTTATAGCAAACACTTTTTTTTGTTTTTCTCTTAAGTAAAATGAATGACTAGATTCATGTCATCAATCCAGGAACCAGGTCTGCCATAAAGCTTAGTCTTTTGTAGTGGACAATTTGGAAAGCTTTATAAATGTGTTCATTTCTTTCTATTTCTTTGTGGCTTAAAAGCCCTTCAGATTGCAGCTGTGCTTGCTCTGGTGACTATCAGGTGTAGTGTTCAAAGATTTCTACTGTGTGATTCATTTTCTCAGTTATTAGATTTAAACTTGGAAATAACTCATTGAGAATGCCTTTCTCTTCAGTCACTTGAATGATCGTTAACACAGGAGAAGTAGTTATTATAATGGCCCTTGGTGTACAGAGTTAGTTCCTAAGACTGATTTTTAAAAAGAAAGAGATATATCTGTGTAATAAGACATTGCACAGCCATTAAAAACAATTATACAAATATATCTGTTTCCATGGAAAGGTGTTTTGGGAATATTGCCATGGAGGCAAGGTTCACAAAGGGCTTCTAACTACAGATAGTTCCAGACTAGATTATTTTATTAGTGACAGTCTGGGATATTGGACCTAGGGACTTGGACTAGGCAGGCACTCTACTATTGAGCTATTCCAGGCCTTTTTTACATTTTGAGATGGGGTATCTAGAAGTTCCCCGGGCTGGCCTTGAACTTGCTGTCCTTCTACAGCAGCCTGCTAAGTAGCTGAGATTACAGGCATGTGCCACTCCACTCAGCTCAGTATGTCTTTGTGGTTCTGTTTGTTGAGACAGTCTCGCTATATAGTTCAGACTGGCCTGTACCTTGTGGTCCTTCTTCCTCAGTCTCCCAAGTGCTGCGATTAAAGGCATGGACCACCACCCCTGGCACAATGATTCTTTATAGTATTGCAAAAGCATTCAACAGAAACCAAACTTCAAATTTTTTATCTTGTCCTAGGCTAGTGCTGTGCAGTACAGTACTCCCCCAAGATGCTGGACAGTGGTAGGAAGTAGCAGCTCCCATTCAGCCTCATGATTGAGAGGGAAAATAAACAGTGTTCCAGCATGCTGTGCTGCTAAGTTAGGGTGTGTGCCAGGTTAGGTGACTAGATGCATTGTTCCACTTAGGGTATTTGGAAATACGGGTTTATCAGGACGTAACCCCATCATAGATCTAAGAGTTTCCATATTCAGTTCTTTATTTGAAAAAAGACAGGACTATAGTTTATCCCTTCCTTTTGTGCAGAGGGTTGTTATCGGCCAGAGTTCCTGGGAAAGGTAGAGTGGAATTGACTGTGGGGATGACTTGATCCTGAGATCAGTGCTTACTCTCCTTGTATGTGTTTGTGTGTGGCCGGTGGGTGTGCACGCATGCATAGGTTCCTTTCCTGCCAATTTTCTTAAACTGGACCAACTTTGATACTTTCTTGTCCCTGGGGCCATGTTATCCTAGTCAGAAAGTCAGTAAATACTGGACACATTCCTGCTGAGATTGAGATTTTCAGATAGTTTTTGACATATTTATATTAAGTGAAAGGTTTCTGAGATACAGAAACTTGGTATAAGTTTACTTTCTTTCTGGCCATTCTTTCTTTCATGTCCATTGCTGTCAAACCTTAATAATGTCTTTACAATTTTCTTTGCTGTCTTAGAATTAAGGTAGCTGAACTCCAGAAAAACATTAATCTGGAGAAGATTGGAACCTAGACAGTGCCCGTGAGTCCTTTTCTTCCATGCTGAGGTTGCCTGGGCCTTTGACTCTCCTGTGTGGGAGATGTGGTCTTGGAGGTGGGGGAGGTAGACAGGTGGGATTGTGCACCAGGTTGCCTCACCTGCCTACCACATGCCTGGGGTTTGCTTCCTCTTCCCAGAAGGGGAACCCTCCATTCCTTCCCCAGTCTTTCCTGAGTGAGAGCACTCTTTGCTTAGAGCTGCTCCGTTGCCCTCTTTGTGCCCCCAGTACTTAGATTGATGTGCTGTGTGGTAACATGCAGTCAGAGATGGGGCTGAGTTAAAGGGTATAGGAAGTGGCTTTGAGATTTTTTGTGGTTTGTCAGGGACTTACTGATCAATCAGGGTAAAAGATCACTACATTTTCTCCTTTTGTTTGTGTAGTTACCCTTCAGTTTGTAGCCCCATTCATAAGAATGGGCAACCAAGGTCTTAAACAGGCTAACAAATCTTGCTCAACGAGACACAGCTAGAGTCAGAACTGACATTCAGACTTCACCCCATCTTCCTCAAGAAATGCTGTGTGTTATTGTTATTATTTCTGTCATTATTAGTTGAGAACATGTTGGATGGGTGCATTCCATGTTCTGAGAATTGTACCACAGAGTGTATTCTTTACCTGTATAGGCACACAACAGGCTGTTAGGAAGGCTTTGTTCTCTTCTTTATTGGTCAGAGGACCAGCAAAGGCATGGAGAGGTAAGTAACTGGCTGGTCATCACATGTACATAGCAAGTACCCTATGAGAATTCAATCCAGGATTGAAGCCAATGCCTGTGCTGTTGTAATTTTATTTATTTTGGATCTGGATCTGTTGGAGGCACCATTGTAGAAATAGTGGTGGAACTGAAGAGCATGCATCTAAAGTAGATAGGAAGAGCAAAGATTGAGCCTTCAGTAATAGCCTTAATAGGAGAGGTGGAGTGAGTCAAGATTAAAAACAGTAGCCAGGTGAGCCAGACATGGTGGTGCACACCTGTAATCCTAGCACTTGGAAGGCGAAGATAGGAGGATTGCCACAAGTTCAAGGCCAGCCTGGGCTATGTAGTGGGTTCAAGGCCACCCTAAACTGCATAGCAAGACCCTCTCTCAAAAAAAAAAAAAGGAAAAAGCAACTGGAGGAGAAGAGCTGGCCTGGAAGTGCTGTCTTGTGATAAGGAGAGCACTGAGGGCTGGTGGCAAGGCCTTGACCTCCTGGGCAGCCAGCAGTGTGACAGCCCGCAAAGGGCGTTGGGCTCACTGGAAGGGCACAAGTCATGCTTTCTAATCTATACCCTTTGAGCTTCCTTGCCAGCATGTATTTAAATGATGCCTTAAACAGCATGAGGAGATTGTGGTGCTTGTATGCGGCAAGGTCTGCTTGGTCGTGAGCAGCATCAGGCAGCAGGCAGCAGGAACAGAGTGAGGTCATGTGAATCACATTGCCAGGGTCAAACCTCTGTTCTACCACATCTTGCCTGGGTGACCTTACACAAATTACTGAGCCTTCTGGTGCCTGAATATCCTTATTTTCAAGACAGAATATTCGTAATTACCTTGTCTGTGTAAGGATTAAATAAGTTCATTCTGGTGAGTTGTGCATTGGTGCTGGTGAAGAGGCTGGAACAGGTGCCCATGCTGTAAGAGCTCGGCTTTGCAGGTGTTTCTGATGTTACTTGCTAATGGCACAGACCACTCCTGTGGCACAGTAGGCATCATTTACACGGTTTTTGCTGGATTCATTTGTTGCAGAAGGATGCTATAAATTATTTTTTGAGGTTATTATTCACATTTATTTGCATTTTCTTCATAGTTTAACATTGATGCCAAAAAGAAAATTAAAACCTGTCTCCCTGCAGGTTAATTTAAGTGATTATCTTGGCACCTAGTTATGCTTGAAGTTAAAATTTGATGCTTTTAAATCAGACTTGGAATCAGTCCACATACCCTATTAGGTTTGTGATATATCTTCATCTAACTTTTGATGCAAGAGAGCTCACTTAAATCATGAGGCATATCTCTCTGGTCTTACAAACACTGGCGATGTCACAGTGAGGTCTGCAGACAGTGCTGTTTAAAGGAGCTTTTGTCAGTGACTAGGGTCGAGATTAATTTATCTTTCTGGAAATCTCATTTGTGTATTTATAGTCTAACATCTAATGCAGGGAGAGAAATTAGAACAGTGATTATGAAATTCTGTACTCTGAAAGAGTGTTTGGGGATGATCTGATTCACCACCTCCATTGTGTAGCTGAGAAAAAATGAGCCCAAAGAGTGTCCAATGCCTGGCTAAAGCCAGCTAACAGAAAGTGGGGACTAGGCGTTGTTACTAAGTGCTCATGGAACAGCATGCCTCAGACAGGAATGGGTGTGAAGCAGGGCTGGGAATGTAGCTCAGTGGCCGAGCCTTGCCAGGCTTGCACAGTGAGCTGGGTTCAGTCCCCAGAAAAAAGACAACTTTGTCAAGTTTAATGCCAAACTTTCTACAGTGCAGAATGGCCTCTGGAACATTTTTAGAATAAATTCTATAAGGAAATAATTTTTAAGTTTATTAATACAGTATTTTATTTTAAATGGCAAAGGAGGAAATCAGACAAAGGGGGTTTTCTCTCTTAAAGGTAAGATACGGTACCTCTTGCTCTTAAAGGTAAGATACGGTACCTCTTGCTAGAAGAAGATGATAGTTCATTAGTTTTCATCTTTATATGTAGTTTAGGTTAATGAGGAACCTTTTTAAATGGGTGTACTGAAGCTTTCATGTATGCATAAGTTGGTTGAGCAGTTTTAATTAAATTAATTAATTTCAACACTGAGATTAATGAGACCTAGTCATGGTCTCTCCCAGGTTGTAGATAATAAATACTACTTTGGCAGTTAGGACATACTTTGATAATATTTTAGAATCTTGCATGAATTATAATACCATATATTCTTCAAATCTCAATTACACCAAATTTTATTAGTTCAGCTCATAAGTTTTCCTTCTACATACTCATTTAAAAATAATTTAAAATTTACAAAAAGTAAAAATATACCTTGCTCTGTATATGTGCATATTTTTTTCTGAACCATTTCAACATAATTTGCATACATTATGCCCTTTCCTAAATACATCAATGCATATTCCGTAAGAGGAAAAAATTCTGTTTTTTGCCACATTAGTTATTAAATTCATAAGTATGCATTGTTATTTTTGTCTGTTCATCCATATTCTCATTATGTCATATGACCTGATAAGTCTTTCTAAGCCAGTTGTGGTATATACCTAGCATTTCGGAGGCTGAGGCAGGAAGATTGTTATGAGTTCGAGGCCAGCCTGGGCTACAGTGAGCTCAAGTCCAGCCTGAACTGCATAGCGAAACCCTATCTCAAAAAGACAAAAAAAAAAAAAAAATAGTTTTTGTACCCTCTTTTCTTCCAGCACAGGGTCCAGTGTCCAGAGCATTTTGGTGCCATCTATGTCTTTTAGCCTTCCTTTGAGTGTGGAGTATTTCTGTGGCTTTCGTCCTTTGTAACATTAGTGTATTTGGTTTGCTCCTTCCTCATGCTGAGGACGGGGCATAGTGCTGCTGGTCAGCACCCACATCCGTGATGCTGTTCCAAGGCACTCGGTGGCATCAGAACCATTGGAAGCTGCACTGGGATCACTCAGGAAAGGTGTTACCTGGTTTCTCCACAATGTAGGACTACAGTTTTTTTCTCCCCCGTAAATAATACACAATCTCTGAGAAGACATCATAAGAAAGACAAAGTTTCCTGTGGATTTAGCATCTTATTCATGGTTCCTGTGGCCCTCTCCAGTTTTCCAGTTTAGTCTCTGCTCTCTCCTATGAGCAAGAGCCTGTCCTCCTGGCCTCCGTTTATGTATCCTTGTGCCTATTCATCAGCATGGACTTTCGGATGTGTATTTTCTCAAGGGTTTATAGTTCATTATTGTACATAGTGTTTCAGTGCCAGCTTGTCCAAAATGTTTTTTAGTTGTTGTTTTTTTTTTTTAATTTTTTGATAATGGGAATCAAACTCAGGACCTTGCACTTGCCAGGCAGGCACTGTGCCACTGAGCTATACCTCCAGGATCCATAATGTTTTAATTTAATTCCTACCTTCCCTTTTATGAAGTAAAAGATACATGACTCTCAGGAGGACTTTTGATAGCAGCTATGTCCAGTTTGTTTTTTAAAATAAATTCTACTTATTGAGACTAAGATTGTAAAAGAACTTTATTTTTTGAATTATTCTTTAACATAATGACTTGTAGCTTTGACTCCCAGAAACAGTAGTTCTCAGTTGCTTTTCTCTTCCAACATAGCAGCGAATTGGGTCTGGTGTCTTCAGTAACAGGGACTCCAGGCTGCAGGGGCAGGTAGAGGTGGGGGTGCAGGAGGGCCTCAGGCATGCTTGCCAACCCTCTTTTGGGAATGCTTACCAGGGGTTAATAAGAGCATGAGAACCCCCTAAATGTGCCTGTGATACAAAGACCAGTGACTGCGTAATAAGACAAACTATTGTATCAAGCAAACACAAAAATTCAATTTCCAGATTAATAGAAGCAAAATAAATACCACCACTTTAGTGCCTTGGTTTGCTGCTTCAGATGTACTTTCCTTTATTTATGGTCTAGAAGAGGTATCTGGATGAGAATCTGGTGCCTTAATATTCTCAGAAGTCATACAACTAGACGATTTATGCGGATCTTATATTCGCCGTATCTAACAACATGTATATTCGGCTTATAAATCTTTTTCTGGATAAAGTAATGGCACTCCACTCTAACTTAGCCAGCTGGAAGAGCTAAAGGTACCTTGATGAGCAATGTCATTGTACAGCTGCCTCTTTTCTCTTCGCTACAGCCTTAATACAGATCCTAGCAGCTGCTGCAGCTGAGCGAGATGTAGCTTATTTTACCTTCGGGGACTCAGAATTGATGCGAGATATTTACAGCATGCACACTTTCCTCACTGAGAGGAAACTGACTGTTGGTAAGTAGGAAACAGTACTGAAACTGGGTATCTAGATGGATGGCCCACTTGTGGGAGAAGCACTTGCTAAATCTGGATGGATCACAGTGGCATAGAAGGAATAAACAAGTGACTTTGAAGGAAGGAGGACAGACCGTAGAGGGGCAGCATTTGCAGTCTGTTTCTCTGCCAGCGTTTCATCCGTGGTTTGAGTGAGTGTGTCAGTCATTAGAGTAAGATGAAGAAGCTAGAGTTACTGTACATTTTCACTTTTCTATGTATAGAAAACTACAAGGGGACTGGAGCATAGATCAGTGGGACATTGCATGCTTAATATGCATAAGACCCTGGATTTAATCTCCAACCCGCCCCCCAAAAAGAAGAATAAAACAAAAAGGCGAAACATAGGAAAATAATTCCAGCCTACTCCAGGCTGCGGGCATATTTTTCAGATAGACATGCATTGTGTTCGTCCAGTGTGATCTCTGCCTCAGGAACTGAGTGTGTATAATAGGGTTTCCATGTGCACTCAAGGTAGCATGAACAAGGGCTGGGGATATAGCTCACTGATAGAATTCTTCCCTAGCATGTGCAAGGACCTAGGTTCAGTCCCCAGAATCTCCCAAAATAAAAGCATGGATGACGCACTGTATGTAGCCTGCTGTGTCGTCAGCTGGGTAGCTCCTTTAAGTAGATGCCAGGAAGCTTTCTAGGTATACGGAATCAGCTATAGTTGCAGAAGCCAAATCTGAGCATATGCTGTTTAGATTAAGATAAAACTAGAGTGTTCTTTTGAAGTTTTTTTCCTGTCTGCGTACCTCAGTGTGTGAATTGTTCTGGCCTTTTCCTCTCCAGGAGAAATATATAAGCTATTGCTACGATACTACAGTGAAGAATGTAGAAACTGTTCCACCCCGGGGCCGGATATCAAGCTTTACCCCTTCATATACCACGCTGTTGAGTCCTGTGCAGAGACTGCCGATCAGCCAGGACAGAGGACAGGGACCTGAGGGGCTGAGTGACCTATGCGCCTCCCAATGCTCCGAGACTTCCTGTTTAAATAGTCAGGTGTAGCGTGTGAACTGACTTAAGTTAATACAAATGTGAATATAATCCATATTTGTAGTCAAAGATGCAATCCCATCTACGCATATGCAATGAATGATTACCTGGGCCACCTCCATCATGATTTATATAAGGTTAGTCGTGTTCTTCCCATTTTTTTTTTCTTTCAGTTTTTTGTGGTCTTTTTTTTTCTTTTGCCTATCAGCTTTCTTGTGAAACCCTGTAAAAGGTGCTCAGCTACCAGATCTTTCTTCATGCCTATATATTATACTGATTGCTTCTGCAGTTAGCAAATGCCAGTGAACCCAGGAAGAAGCTGAAATCCAAGTGTCTCTGTTGTGCGTTTTGCAGCAAGGCTCCCTGTGGGCCTCTCACCTCCATTTCTTGTTCAGGCTCAGTGTCGTTTGATTGTTTGAATTTCAAAAACTAAGAATTAGAGTTATTTCATACACATTGCATAATACAGATATCCTAGGTTAAAATAGTTTTTTATTTATTTAAGACAGACTGATTTCCAGACATTACCTTGTGGCACCACTTTATCTATAATGGTTTATCCTGTTTCCCCTGATCAATTTTTATTGGCATTGGGCTGGGGATTTAGCTCAGTGTCACAGCACCTGCCTGGCAAGCATGAGGTCCTGAGTACCAAAAAAAAATTTTTTTATTGACATTGTTTTTGGAAATTGGCCAAGATGAAAGAAAATGCAGAGCAAAATAGAGTTCTCATATAAAAAAAGAGATGCAAGAGAGCTGAAGGATTTTTTTGTTTCTTGAGACTTTTAATTAGGATCGGTTTCTGTGGTACTTGAGGTCTATTCATATAACCAAAGTTTGGGAACTGAGAACTTCATGCAGGTTTGTGCATATTGAAGTTTCTCTGGTATTCAAAGGTTGTACAGTTAATAAATCTTGACCAGTAAATAAATTCTCAGAAGCTCCCACATCACCTATACTTCATATACATATATAAGCATTTGCTCTTTAACAGTGTCTGTCTGGGAGCTCATGAAATCTAAATAAAACTGGAGTTGGGGGAAATGAATAGGTTTAGACTTTATCAGGGCTCTTTAAAATGTGTTTGCACACTTACGTTCATTTAAAACTGACAACAAACATAAGTAGTAATGTCTCTGGAAGGTTAAACTGAACATCAAAGCCAGTCATCAAAGCACTTACTTAGATTTCCCAAATAGTCCAAAGCTACACTGTTGAAATTCTTGTTCACAGTCAGCTGTCAGGAAAAGCCAGTGGAGGTCAGATCCTGCAGCACTGGCAAGAAGAAAACGGGCCCTGGGCCGATGTCTGTAACCCTTGATGTTCGTATAGGGATTGAGAGGATAATGGGATTTGGCATCTGAAGGCATCCACTTGTCATTGACAGAGCTCTTACCATAGTAGCTAAGATTTTAATCATCTCCCAAATTTAGAGGAATCTGGCTTTATTTCTGCTGATACTAAAATCTCTTCCCTGGTTATTATACTCATTTCCTCGTTTCTCCATCCGTGTACTCAACCCTGCTGGTCAATCCCAAGACTAAGTGAACTGTGTTTCCTGAGCAGGGCCAGCTGGTTCCTATGTAGAGAAACCATAGGTCCAGGTTAGGTACCACCCAGCCCCTATTCCCAGGCCAGAAAGCCGAGCCCCAGGTCCTGGTGTTGTGTCATGTACCAGCTGCCTCTTCCTGTAGAAACTCTTACTAGCTCTTTGTCCCAATGTGTCCTAGCACTGGGCAGCCTAATCAGATGGAGCATGAAGAGCACTCTTGTCCAGTTCTTGAGAAGGGAGGATAGGGGAGAGAATGCTATTATTTTCTCCTAACAGCCCTCTGCAAAATAATAATAATAATAGTAATAATAATAAATTAGAATTCCTGTTGTGAGATATTTAACAGCACTTTTTTGTTCTCTTCCATGTAGGGCTTATTGTTTTATTTCATATTGTTTACTCCTTGCTTTTTTTAATCTACCAAGTTTAGAAATCTTAGATTTTTTGTTCTTTAATCTGCCAAGTTTAGAAACGTAGATTTTTGTTGTTGTTGTGCTTTTGTTTTTTGTTTTTGTGATGCTGAGGATTGAGCCAAGGGCCTCAGCACCTATTCAACAAGCTGTCTACAGCTGAGCAGTACCCTAGACCTTTTTATTTTGACATAAGATCTCACAAAGTTTCCTACACTGACCTCCAACTTGCAGTCCTCCTGTCTCATCCTCCCAAGTAGTTAGGATTGCAGGTGTGTGCCACCACTCCTAGCTGCAAATCTTAAGTTTTTAATGAAGCTTATTTTCAGTTTCTGTCCAGCTCACTCAGAAGTACAGTAACAAAGAAAGAGCAGTGTTCAGTAATGCAAAAAGCATGAGGTTTCTAAATCAGGCAGATTAGGTCCAAATGCTGCACATCCCTAGTTAATATTTTAACCTTATCTAAATAAAGTGGATCTTTAACTTAAGCAGCTAAAAAACAGACTAATAGCACCTACTAGAAAATAAAACATGAAACAGTCTGGCATACAGTTGGTGTTAAGTAAATGTGAAAGTTATCATTGACCCAGGAGGATTTATGGGACACCTACTGTATATTAGCTGCTGTATTGTTTGCTCTGCATTGTTTTTTTTTCTTTTCTTTTCTTTTCTTTTCTTTTTTTAATGGTAACAAAGCTTTATTAAAGGTAGAAAAAGAAACAGGCTCTGTAGAGTGAGTTTGGGCAAGTAAAAGTAGGAAAAGAAGTATTATACATCCTGCAATAACAGGGAAGGCCATCCATCCAAGAGAGAACACAATAACCTGCTCCAGGTTATTTTGGTCCACTTTTCCAGTGAACTAACAGATGCCCAGAGAATATCTGGGACAGAATACCAGCCTGACCTCTAGAATTTCATTATGAAAGGATCGGTATCAGTAGAAATCAATAGAACAAAGGCCCTGACTCCCTTGTTCTCTACCATGTTCCTGGTACAGATTAAGTATCCCTTATCTGAAATACTTGGAGTGAAAAAAAGAAAAGAAAAAAAAAATGAAATATTCGGAGTGAGATTTTTGGATGTCAGATTTTTTATTATTTGCCTCTATATGTATAATGAGATATCTTGGGTGTGACTTAAGTCTGAACAGAAAGTTCATTTATGTTTATATGCTTTATTCACATAGCCAAAGGTAATTTTACATAGTATTTTTAGTGTGCTTGCATTCTATCCAGGGCTTATCACCTGAGGTCATATGTGGGATTTCCTACTTGAGGCATCAAGTCAGTGCTCAAAAAGTTTCAGAATTCAGAGAATTTCGGAGTGTTGGAATTGCAGATGATGGATGTTTAACCTCTGTAGTAATTCTTCATTTTGAGTTATCAGGGGGTACATCTAGTCATCCCTGAGAAAGGTGCCTCTGTTCTCACTGGCTGCTGTGATATTTAGGGCAGGCAAAACCAGCTGGAACTTGAAAGGGAGCAGTCCTCAAGCCTTGTGACTATTCTGCCAGGTGCTTCACTTGACTACATACTGTTCTGGAAACCAAATTTCAGCTAAGCTCTTCTACTCCAGAACATACTGGAGCAAAGAGTTGATTGGTTCACTTTCTCAAAAACATCTTCAGCAGGAAAGGAGGCAGCTATGTAATTCTCACGTTTGTTCTCCAGTCATTGTGGCTGCATGTTCCTGTTTTTTCCTGATGCGAGGAAGACATGCATCTAGTATGTCTTCTTAAAGAAAAGTAAAGAATGGGAGGACCTGTGCTTGCTTGTCTCAAGCCTGTGGATGTGGGCCATTCTTTTACAAGGAGGGAAAGTTCCAGCCACTGCAGGAACAGCTCAGCATACTAACCCTTCACTTTTTGGAGAAAAGAGGCATCTCTATGATGTGTGCTAGCATAAGCTGCTAAGATCCACTTTTCTCTGTCATCAAGTCCCTTCTTACCAGATGTCACATGGATCTACTGAGCCTTTGTGTGGACGGCTTCCCAACCAAGACAGCAAAACTGCATATGTTTATCTGGTAACTCATTTTATTTCTCCTGTTTATTTTAAATGTAAAGTTAATTTGTCATGATGATTCTGGAATTGGGGATAAGGTGAGATCTGTGCTGATGTTTACATGATTTTTGTAAGAAGACAATAAAGAAATTCTGATCCCCTTGTACTATGTCTTTCTTTCTCAAATACTGCTACTTTTCACTTCAGGTTTTATATGCATGATCTCAGCTTTTTTAAAACATGTAAGAAACCTTAGTGTTTATCACTCTACATCAGGTATGTAGAGATGGTCACTGGCATGAGGAGCTTTAAGAGGTGAGGAGGTCTGCTGCATTCATTCTCCTGCATTGCCAGGTTCCTGAAGTTGTGATGTTTCCAGGTGTTTTCTCCCTTTTCTAATTCTCATCTTCCCACCAAACCAGGAATAGGGCAAATGTCCCAGAGGTTCTGAGGACCTTGTCCTTAGCCATTCACATCCCACAGACCCTAGTACCTTTGCAAGCCATTCGCAGGGCTCTCCTCAGGGCGTGCAGAGACGAGTGACTTGTCCTCTGCACTCCAGGTAAGTGGTCTAAGACTGCCAGTGGCATTCTGTTTTCACTACTCTGTTCCAGTTGGACCTAGAGAAACCAGGTAAGTCATTATGCTGTCAGTTTGGGAACTTGTGCAGAATCCTGCATCATGTCAGTCCTCCACTGTGTTGAATTCCCTTATGCCACTTCCTCTGTGGAGTTTTGTAACACATGGCCTACACTGGTGTCAAACCTATGGCACATGTGCTGCTGTGGGCTGTTTGTTACCATTGAAAACAGGGTCACCGTCAGTAACCTAGAGCATAACATAATGTAAGGTGACCTGGCTGAGTGCCCTCTCTTGACTTAACAGTGTCCACCATCCTGATTCTAGTGGGCCTTGGACCCTGAGAATGTTGCTCTGGGTTGAAACATGATTTTATATTAAGGTTTGTGACAGTATCCTGTAAGTTTAGAAATAAAATTCTACTATTTGGAGAAAAATGTTTTCAGTGTAGAATTGATAGTAGCCTCACGGCTCTGATTTGCTCTTGAACACATCTGAAGATGCCACTATAGTCTTGATCTAATGTGATTTCAGTATTTGTTAATTTCACAGGGAACAGTTTTTTCACATTGTAGCATCTCTTAAAATATTTCTGAAAATTTGCAGTAGATGTCTTAATGATATATTTTACAGTCTGTGGCATCTTATATTTGAGAAAACCTTGCTTTTTATCTTTGTTTTTATGTGGTGCTAGGCACTGAAGCTAATCCAGAAAATTGGTTGCCAGCAAACCTGCTTGCTAGAATGGCTAAAAGGAGCCAGGTATGGTGGCACACACCTGAAATCCCACCAATCTAAAAGGCTGAGGCAGGACAGCCACAAGCCCTAGCCCAGTCTGGGCAATTTAGCAACTTAGTAAGACTGTCTCACAAAAGATCTGAGAAGGTAGCTCAGTGGCTCTCAGTTACCACCACCCTCCAAAAAAAAGAATGGCTAAAAGACAGGAAGTTTTGGAGACAAAGGAAATGCTTTAAACAACAACCAAAAGAAAAGTAAGAAATACAGGTAGATAGAATAAACTTTACTTCACTTGAGATTTACAAATGTGTCTGTTGAAGCAAAATTTTAACTGTTGTAGCTTTCAGTGTGAAGTAAATGATTAACAGCTATAAATATGGGAGGGTAAAGGGACATGAAGAAGTCAGGTTCCTTTACTTCACTCAACTGATAAAATGTTGACACAGTTGGACCATAATAAGCATATACATTGTAATGCCTAGAGCAGCCAGTAGGGTGACTATAAAAAGAAACCCTCAGAACCAGTTTCAGTACATTAAAATAGGACGGTGCACTTTTTTTAAAAAGTCAGTTAACCTACAGGAAGATAGGGAAAAGAAAATTTAAAAATCAGAACAACCAGTAAACAAAAAATAATGACAGAAAAATAAAAACTTGACTGGGAAAACATCACTAAAATTAATAAGCCTGTAAGGGTACCTAAGGGGAAGAAGGGCGAAGTTATGAATTACTAATATTAGAAATAATATATATAAGGGGTATCACTGCATATCCCTGGACATTAAAGAATAATCATGGTAAAGTAAATATTTTATGTGCACACATTTGATAAGATAAAAAAATGGACCAGTTACCTGCCAAAATTCACCCAAGAAAAAAATGGAGAATACGAATAGGCCTATCTGTAAAAAAGACACATTAATGACCTTCCAAACAGAAAATACCAACCTTGGACAGTTTCTGGTGAATCTACCAACATTTAAGGAAGAAATGTTTCTAATTGTTTACAATCTAAAGGAAGATGGAAGCACAGGGAATATTCCTGATTTCTCTATGAGATCAGCGTTACCCAAATAAAGTCAGGCAAAGATATTAAAAGGAAGCTGCAGGCAGTATCTCTCACGAAAGTAGATGTAAAAATTCTCAAAACAACTAGCTAATTGAGTTCAACGTGTTTAAAGAATTGTTTGCAGTGACCAAATGGAATTTATCCCAGATAGACAAGCTGACTCAACATTGAAAAATCAATCCCTGTATTCCATCATCCAGAGGCTTTTTAAAGAAGAAAATAATATCAAATGCAGAATTAACATTCAGCAAAATCCAATTCCCATTCATGATTAAAAGGAAAAAACAGCTCAACAAACCTGGAATAGGGGTGGGACTTCTGATAAGGAATAGACCCAAAAAACAGAGCTAACAAGGGGCTGGGGATTTAGCTCAGCGGCAAAAGCGCCTGCCTGGCAAGCGCAAGGCCGTGAGTTCATTTCCCGGTACCGGAGAAAAACCAAAACAAAAAAAAAAAAAAAAACAGAGCTAACATCACACCTAATGCCAAGAAACTCTAAGATTTCCTGCTAAGATCAGGAAACATTCGTGTTAAAACTCAGCAACCTAGGAATGTGGGTGGGTAATCCTTGACTATTTAAAAAGCTATAGAAAAACTGATCTGCAGCTAGCATCATACTTATATTAAGAGACTAGGTGCTTTCCTACTTAAAAATCAGAAAGAAAGAATGTCCTGCTTCACTACTCCTGTTTATTAAATGTGATGTTATATTTCTGCTGTGCTCGAGGTCTGCATCCTTTCCTAGGTGGACAGATGAAGAAACTGCAGTTCAACTCACGAAGAAGCCAGTTCAACTGTACATCAGAGTATCATTCAGCAATAAGAAATGGCCGTTAAAATACCAAAAACACTTCAGAACTTAAAGGCATACAATTGAAAGAAGTCAGTCTAACAAAGGCAACATACTGTATGATAAATTATGTGTGTGTTTGTCAAGGGTTCAGGGTGTAGAGGAAGGTTGAAAATTTGGCCCATGATTTTTAGAGTGAGACTATTCTAAATGTGTCATGGTAGATACATGACACATTTGTCAGACCCCATAAAATTGTGCAACACACTGAACCCTAATGTAAATTGGCATCAGTTAATGATGTATCAAAATTGGCTTATCAGTTACAAATGTAACAAACTAGGCAAAATGTTGTCATAGGCTGTGAGATGAAAAGGATATAGGGGACCCCTAAACTGCTTTCAACTGTTTTAACCAAAAATGCTCTAAAAATAAACATTAAAATGTAAATAATTCATTAAAATAAAGGAATATTATGAATTGATTATGTGGCCAGATTTTGCGTGGTTTTGAGCTATACTGAAGATTTCTGTCTTTGTGGGTAATGGAGAGCCATGATTTTAGGACTGCATTCGGCCTGATAAAGCAGCAGATGTCAAACATCTATGATGAACACCTACTCTTTCTGGGCCTCTTCATGATAAATTAGTGAGTCTTCCCCACTACACTAATGAAACCTAGTTCTGTGTACATCAGTGTATCTTAGAATATCAGTTTCTCTACCTTTTATAGCCCAAATTCAACACACATTTGCTCCACATGCTGGAGTTTTAGGGTTTACCAGTACCTAGTGAGGTGAAAGGACCCATAAAGTTCTGCTTTTAGCAAGATGGAGTGAATACTATTTTTAAAAAATCCAGATATAAAATACCTTTAAAGCTTTTCTGTTCTTGAAAAGTCCTACTTCCCTTAAGATCTACTTTTAATATCTGTTATTCTGTAGTTTCACTTTGACTCCATTTACTCTGGTTGGTACTTATTGCATTTTCCTGGCACTTGCTTCATGTATTTTGTATTTCATTAGTCATAAAAAATTCTATTCAATTGTTGTGTCCCCTCCATTTCCCATTATTTCTTGGAACTCTGGGCCTATTTCAGATTGCATTCTGACTTCCATTTCCCTTAACAATTGTCAGAGTAAAATAAAGAAGCTCTATAGTTTCTACTTGGTCCGTAGCCACACCAGCTCAGTATCCCCAGGGCCCTGCCACGCCCATAACTACTACAGTGGGAGCGAGGTGGAAGTGCTTAAACCCCCTGACCTCAAGGAGTTGCTGCCATTGGGCAGGAAGGCCTGGGAGATGAGAGAGTCTGAGTAGGGGATAGGACAGATGATATAGGGATGACTAGACCACAGGCTGAAGGAAGAAACAATATGGGGCTATCAGGAGCAAGCCAAAGTCAAAGGAGATGATAGGACACTGCCTCAGGGCCAACCCTGCTATGCAGGTGAAGGGCTGCTGCTGGGATGGGATCAGGGGCTCCATAGCCAGTGTTAAGTTTTGTTTCCAAGTGAGGCAAGGGGGAGGAGGACCAAGAGTGAAATGAGCTCTCTTCCCCAGCCCTTTGTGTCTTGTGTTTGTTTCCAAGGGGTAAGGTGGGATTAAAAGTGACTACCACTATTTCCAGGCTTGTATTTTTCTGGTTTGGGTCAAATTCTTTTCTCATTGCTGAGACAAATTACCAGACACCCAAAGTTAAAGGAGGAAAAGTTTGTTTAGCTCACAGTTTGTAAAGGTTTCAGTCCATAATCAACTGGCTCCAAGTCAGGTTGGCTTGCAGAGGAGTATCCCAGAGAAGAAACAGTTCATCAAAAACAGCAAAAGCAAGCCAGGGAAGGAGGCCAAGGAAGGAAGAAAAGGGACCAGCCTCTTTCTGTTCCTCATGTTGTATGCAGGTTACTTGCTCGAGGGCAGGTGTAGCATTCACACCCATAATCCCACTATTGGACCATGACTCAGTCACAAACTATTCACCCACCTGTGAAAAA